GTGATCTTACTTATTAGCAGCTCTACTCTTCTGTTCTAGTCTCACTTTATTTCTCGTGTCTTGTTGCTTTTCTACTTTTCTATTTCAGTTTCTTTTGTGCTTGCTGTGCCAGAAATAGACTTGCGCAGGCTTCGGTCATGTAGAAGTAGGCTTTCAGCTCCACTTGCTTACTTTAACGTCAGTGTGGTGACTGTTTGGTCCTACAGATGAAAGGCCTCCTCCACCAGGCCCGGCTCTGCCTCCAGCTCCAGCTCCAGCTCCTCTTCCTCCACCGATGGAGATGAAACCCAGACGTCCCGACAAAGCGACGAAGCCGAAGCTTCCTCCTCGGCCGCTGTCCAAAGTGTTCAGCAGCACTGAACACGGAGCGGCTGTGCTGCAGGTGGACACTCAAGTTTGATTTTTTTTTTCTTTCAGCCACAAACATGCAAATAAACCAACATTTTTTAGTTTAGAGTTAAAGTTCAGCCATAAGCTTGACCTCATGCTCACACTTTACTCATCAGTGGATCCATGTCTCAGCCAGAAGCCGGATTTTACTTCCTGCTTTTAAAACTGGTTGTATACGTGCTGAAGGGTGTCTTATCTCACTGAGTTGTCACCCCGTTAGTGCAATTAGCATGTTAACCTGTAAAAACCAACATAACTACAGAATAAAGAGGCAGAGAGACAGCTCAAAGAAGACACCCATCCCCTACACATTATTATTAATGGGATTTATTAATCTGTACCTTTTGTTTTTTCCCCCAAAGGGATTTGATAGTTTCCGGGGAGATGAGACTCTCTGTGATGTGGTCTTGGTTCCTGGAGACAGTAAGGACACGTTCCCCGTCCACAGAGTCATCATGGCTTCATCCAGCGACTACTTCAAGGCCATGTTCACAGGTGGGCTGTTCTGTCGCACATGCTGAAGTAATACGTGCACCAATGTAGTCCAAACACAGAAAACTGGAGCCAGCGTATGGACATGAACAGTTCTTCTGGTAGATTAATGGTAGCAGCTGGACCTGCTTGAAGACGTTCCACCTTCATCCAAGAGGCTTCATCAGCTCTGACTGACTAGCTGGGAGTTCCACATCCTGATATCCTGAAGGAGACATTAACACCTGAGTTTGGGTTTCAATTGGGGGTTTGTTGCTCCTCCCCCTCGTTATGTGAGTCGTTAGTGCTCCCCCTGACACAATGGGGTTCGTTAGGGTCTCTGTGGCTAGATGTGGATTCACAGGTGTTACCGGCTCCTTCAGGATATCAGTACCTGGAACTCCTCCTCCGTTCATTAGACTCAAAGGCTACAGCGGGAAAGTGTGAGGAGCTCAGCAAACATCGTTAATCTCGCTGTAAAGTTTGGCATTTTAACACCAAGGTTTATGGGGATCGACTGCTTTTTGCTGCCTCAAGTGGACGTTTGAGGAACTGCTGTTTCTGTTTTTTCGTCCCCAGATGTTGCCTTTTTGCCGGTGCTCCTGTGAGGCTGCAGAATAAATAATAACTATAATATATTACAAGTCTTGTTTTTTAAATGAAAACAGGTCATTTGAAACCTGCCTACTCACATGCTAATTTTATCACGCGAGCTAAGCTAAGAGCAGCCTTACCGCTAGAAGACGTTTTTTATTGAGTGTATAAATAAACAGCGGTTTGTCTTTGCTTGGTGACGCTGTTCCCCTCAGCAGCTCTTCAAAAATAGACATTTAACCGTGTGGCTGCTTCGCTGTGGGACACAAACACACCAACGTCTATTGTTCTGGATGTGTTTGTGTTCTCGCTCACCTCTGTGTTGAACTTCCTTTCATTCGCAGCCTCACAGGAGGTATTTGCATTTGACCACGTTTTGACTTTTAAACAGTCCTCACCTTGTTCGAGCTTCGAGCATCTCGATGACGGTGCACGAGGCAAATCTCCCCAAACGATGTATATTCATGCCTTCGCCTCGTCTTTGTCTCTCTGCGCTTGATGTGTCTCGTGCAGGAGGCATGAGGGAGCAGGAGATGAGGGAGATCAAGCTGCATGGGGTGACTAAGACGGGCCTGAAGAACATCATAGACTTCATTTACACATCCAAAGTCAGCCTGGACATGGGGAACCTGCAGGACACCCTGGAGGCTGCAAACTTCCTGCAGGTCATGCCCGTCCTGAGCTTCTGCAACCAGCTGCTGAGCAGTGAGGTGAGAGGGTTGGTTTCGGCCTGACGTTGCACTCTTTTTCTCAAAGTCGCATCAATTCACAAAGTCTTTTCAGGCAGGTTTTGTCTTACTGTCAAATCCCTCTGAGTACTTTCTGTCCCTTCAGTGCTGGTGTCAGTTACAGCGTAGAGCAGAACAGACGAGGATCACCTTCTGCTACAGCACATGGTGATTGGACACGCCATGAAATATGTAGTTCTTCTTGAGGTTTACAGCTAGGCCTGTGTTTTGGTATTAATAAACTAAAATAAATGGATTGAAGTCCTGACCAGTGTGCTTCTGTTAAAGTATAATACTGTAGTATGAGACAAGTGTAGAAGAGTACAGACAGAGTTCTGAAAGTGACAGAACAGTGAAAGATTAAGAAAATAGAGAAGTGCAGGAGACAAACTGATGAATCTCAGTCGACACAAACAGAGGACAGCGTCCTGATTTAATCACTCCTGTCTCTAGTCTACATATTCAGCTATAGTTACCTTTATTGATGTAGTTCTGAATGGCTGCTGTCACATGCTGTTAAAACATCACAGTTAGTCCAGATATCGGTTCTTCTTGATTACCAACCACGACCCTAAAATAAAAAGGAGAAAGACAAACCTGCAGTATGAACCATGTGTGTGATGGATCTCTCTCCTGTGTTGCTCTTGGATGCAGATCACGATCGACAACTGTGTGGAGGTGGAGCGCATCGCCACCGACCTGCCGCTGGGCGACGTTCAGCTCAATATCGGTGAGTGAGAAAGTCAACAGCACAAACTTTACTGATTTACTGGATAGTGTGTTCGTCATTTTGTAGCTGTTCTGTTTGAATGTTAAGTCTTGGTTGTTACAGCCTGTACAGTCACTCAGAGTATCCCACAGTGCACCTGAGTACAGCTGATGAACCCTAACCAGCAATATGGACCATCAGTGCAATGTTAGTGAAGGATTAGCAGCATTTTTACAGATTTCTGAACGTTATTGTATCGTGCTAACATGTATTTTGTAGTTTTAATCCATATTTTCTACAGAATGAAGTCATTTTAATTGGTTAAAATTGGAAAGTACGCTCACTATAATATGAATTCATCACAAAAATGCAATCAGCTCACTACTGCTGCTAGCGCTGAGGCTAGGGCAGAGACGGAAAGTGTTAGCTTTGCCTACATAGTTCACTGTACAGTGATTCCTAGATGGGATCAGCTGTGTTAAACCTTCTGCTCCTCAACAATCCCTAAAGCCAGACAACAACTGAGTCATCATTACAAATAAAGCACCTAGATGTAGTGCACCGTGCATTGCTTTGCTATCAGACCTATAGTCCGCTGGGTCATGTCAGCTGTTGTTGGTTGTCCTTGCTCTAGGTGAGTTTGTGAGCCAGAACCTGTCTGAGCTGGTGGAGTGTGGTCGCTACCTGCAGCTCTCTGAGACCACCATGGCCAACGCTCTGGCCAGCAACTCTCTGAAGGGTTTCTCTGAGCTGGAGCTCTACCACATCGCCAGGGGATGGCTGGACCACGACCCTCCCAACCGCCGCCCCTCCGTCTACGCCTTGATGCGCCACATTCGCTTCCCTCTGATGAGCCCCAGCGAGCTGATCCAGATCTCCCAGGACGACGAGGAAGGAGGCGACTCCATGATGCGCTCGGACACGGCCTGCGTGAACCTGCTGCTGGAGGCCAGCAACTACCAGATGATGCCGTTCATGCAGCCGGCGCTGCAGACCGAGAGGACGCAGATCCGGTCGGACGCCACGCATATCCTGGCGCTGGGCGGCGTGATGCGGCAGCAGCTGGTGGTGAGCCGAGAGCTGAGGCTGTACGATGAGAAGACCGGCCACTGGAGGGCCCTGAAACCCATGGAGGCACCTCGCTACCAGCATGGAGTGGCTCTGCTGGGCGGCTTCCTCTTCATCGTCGGAGGTCAGTTTAACCCTTTGACAGCAGTAAAAACACCCTAAACGTCTTTTAACCTGAAATTTTCTGACTTTTCCTGAAGTGACCCAAAAAAACACAGAAATGAAAATATTTTAAATTGTTGTGCTTTGGTACAGGTTCTATAAAGTTTAGTCCACTGAGGCTGTTTGGAGTCAAACGTGACCCATGGATCCACTGAGATGGAGTCTAGATCCACCAGTGTGGGTCAAATCAAGGAACGTGGTGGTTTTAGGGACTCTTCAAACTGTTAGACTGTATAGGCCATGTCTTATGAGTGTTTTTTTACATTTATTAATGTGACATAAGTACTTAGACTTTCTAAATAAATGTGTAGTTTAAAGTCTGGTGTAGACACTTAGTATGAAGGAATTCTTTGACAGGAATTCTTCACAGTCTGGTCGGAGTCAAACATGCTGTGAAGGCATAAAATATGAACAGTATGTCAGGGCGAAGCCACGTGTCAGGTGGTAGACCAGGAAGTCCACTAATGTTGGTGGTTCAAGTGAAGCACGTTGAGGTGTCATAGAAGTGTGGACTGTTTACGATGTTTCAACACTCAGGGGTTCCTGTTGTTTTGGGGACGTGACAATTAAAACGGAAACTGGATCTTCAGTTCGCCAGATGTTGGGAGTGCATAAAGACTCTCGTGTTCACTCCAGCAGTAGATCAGTGGTTGAGCTTTGCTTGTGGCTGAAAAGTTTAACCTTTTAAACAAAGTAAATGTAGTAACATAGATTAGCTCTGGGATGGTGCACATTTTAGGAACTTTGAGCGTAGTTGCTGTTTTTTTGTTTCGACTGTGACGGTAGTTCTTGTTGTAATTCCTCTCAGGTCAGATCACCTACGACACAAAGGGTAAGACGGCCATCGACAGCGCCTACCGCTACGACCCGCGATTCGACAGGTGGCTTCAGATTGCGTCGCTCAACGAGAAGAGAACCTTTTTCCACCTCAGCGCTCTGAAGGGGAAGCTGCTGGCGGTGGGAGGAAGGAACGCATCGGGAGAGATCAGTAAGCTGCTGCACACCGGTTCAGTCAAAGAACTGAATCACTGCTGACACTAGAATGACAACGGTCCCAGTAGAACGTGTCGCACTTCTGCTCCTCTTGTTGGATTCTTTTCTTGCCCTAAATAAAATGTCCAAACACCTGCGTATGATTTTAAACAGACACAGTGGAGTGCTACAACCTGAAGAAAAACGAGTGGACGTTTGTGACCAGCATGGTGGAGCCTCACTACGGACACGCCGGGACGGTTCACGGGGACCTCATGTACATCTCAGGTAACTTTCTGAACCAATCTGACTGCTGGACTCTTTCATCAGTGTACGAAACCTTTGCTTAAGTCTTTCACCGTTTCATCTTGTGCAAATGCATCACTGCCTCATTTTGCAGCATGTAGACGCCTCTGGGGACTTTCCATTGACTGTTCGACTAAAGCTGAGTTCCTAATGACTCCTTTAACTTTTAATATTCACAAAGGAATCACTGAAGCACAGGAATGTTTGTCACAACAAACAGTCGTGCATTTTGGCTCCTTCACAGATTTATTAAAGGTCTTCTGGAAGTATGACAAAATCCAGTGAATCCAAATCATACAGACCAGTTGGGTTTCTGGTGTTGGTGATGTAGGAAGCTGCTTTAACCAAATGTTCTCAGTTTCATGGCCCCTTAGCTCTGCATGATTATTGGCTGGTGGCTCCTCTGAGCTGAATTATTATTATAATTAGGCCTCATTTGATCCACTCATTGGACTTGGTCACAAACACTACAGCGGGGAAGTCTGAGGAGCTCAGCAAAGATCTGGAAGAACACCAACTACCAGCAGCTGGTCAGGATGGTCAAGAGTCAACCAGGAACCAGCAGGAAGCAGCTCTGGATGGACCAGAAGCTGCTGGAACACAGCTGTCAGTGTCCACAGGGTCTGACATCAACATGAGCTGAGAGGCTGATGGAGAAGGAAGTTCTTCCTCTAGAAGCAGAACCTTAAAGCTCCACTGAAGTCTGCTGCTGGTCACATGGACAAAGAAAAGGCCTTCTGGAGGAAAGTTCTGGTCAGATGGAACCAACACTGAGCAGAACCATGTCTGGAGGAGAGAAGGTGAGGCCTTTAACCCCAAGAACACCAAACCTACCATCAAGCATGGAGGTGGCAGCATCATGCTCTGGTTCTGTTCTGCTGCCAGTGGACCTGGAGCTTTACACAAAGTCAGTGGACCAATGAAGAAGGAGGATCACCTCCACGTTGTTCAGGAGAACCTGAAACCATCAGCAGAAGGTTGATCTTGGACACAGTTGGATGTTCCAACCAGACAATGAGCCCAAACACACATCAAAGTGGTGAAGAAATGGTTCCATCAGGCTGGAATGAAGGTTCTAGACTGGTCTCCCCAAAGTCCTGACTGGAACCATCCAGAACCTGTGGACTGATGAAGGAACAAGTCTGAGTCAGAAAGACGACGAGTTTAGTTGAACTGCAGCGGTTCTGTCCAGAGGAGTCAGAGATGGACCAGAAGCTGGTGGACGGAACCAGAAGAACCCGACTGAGGAGAACATTTCTGTATGTAGATTTATGACCCAACAGATTCTGTCATGTTTCCAGAGGACCTTGTGTTTTGTGACAAACATTCATGCGTTTCAGTGATTCCATCATAGAACTAAGAGTTCAACGAGTCACTAGAACCTCAGACTGCTGAGGTAGACGTGGTCTTCACAGGTAGACGTGGTCTTCACAGGTAGACGTGGTCTTCACAGGTAAACGTTGGTTCAACCAAAAACTACCAAGAAGTCATGTTCACACGTCACCAAACTGAGTAAAATGTTTAATAGTTGGCAGATTTCAAAGAGTGAAACGTTCTTGATGAGGGTTGAAGTCCTGGTCTGTCAGCGTCCTGGTTTTAAAGGGATTCACGTCCACGTCTCCTGACCTGCCGTCTCTGTGGGTCGACTCAGCAGAGCTCTGTAAGCTGGCGACGAGCTACTTCTCACGGTGGAGTTTCAGAAACCGGCAGTGGTCTCAGGCGACGAGCTGCAGCTTTGACTCACAGCTGACAGCAAACATCTAACCGCACTTCCTCACAAGGCTTTCTTTTTTTTTTACAGCTGTTGAACAACCTGACAGAACTTCTGCCTTTTTCTGCTGAGCGTTACTCACACAGAGAAAGTCTGAGTTCACTGGAGGCTTTCAGCAGATCATCTCGTTGTTATCAGGTCGCTGGGAAAAGGCAGAAATATGCAAAACAACAAGATCCTTTGTTGGATCCTTTCAAAAGTAAAAACGCTTTCCTGACAAGTTCAGTGTTTGTCAGCATCGAACTTTATCAGCTTCATTTACAACAAAAACACTCGTTGCTGTTAAAATCACTTCTTAAAAACCAATTTTTCTAGACTTACTTCTGCATGATGTTGTCTATTATCATTATTATTATTATTAATATAATTGATTTTTTAAAACGATTTATTTTATTGTCCATTTTATTTTTCTTTTACTGTTTATTTACTTATTTACGTATTTATTTTATTTCTGTACTATTTTTATATACTAGATTTTTTAAAAACTTTTAAAATTTTATTGTCCATTTTATTCTCTTTTAACCTTTATTTATTAACTTATTTATGTATTTATTTTATTTATGTGCTATTATTATTAGTAGTAGTAGTAGTGTTATTATTATTCGTTTGGGGGTAAAAGAGAGTAAAGTCAACAAATAAAGTTAACTAATATATAAATAAATATATAGTCATATAAATATGCAGAAATATCTGGTAAATGTCAGCTAAAAATAAATTAAAGCACAAATTGTAAAATTTATAATACAAGTAAAAAATAAAAGTACTAAAGTGAAAAATGTTCTTTAAAGCGTCAAATACAATAAAAACTATTGAGTGAAATGAAGACATGAAGCAGCACAGAGCAGCATGCGTGTATTAAACGTGTTTTAATCGTCTCCTCGTTGGTCTGCGGTTCTTCAGCGTCTCCGGCTGGTTTCCGTAGATTTAAACTAGAACTATCTGAAGGTCCCACCTTGACGATAAGCTCTCCTGTCTGAAAACCGCTTCCTGCGCTCGCGGCCGGTCGCCAGGCAACCTCGGACAGGAAAGAGGCAGTTTCTCACGTTGACAGCAGAAGTTTCACACCGACGGCTGAGAACCAGGAAGCTCTGAGACCTGTGGTGGAGGTGGGTTCAAAAAAACACCCAGAAAATTCTGAGTAGCTGCTGTGTGGCGATGAGCGCTCTGACCTTCACGGCGGCCTCACAGAGAGAACGGGTCGGCTGTCAGCAGAACAGCACCACGAAGACGGCTCGCTTGGACACGACTGGTTTGGGCTGCTGCCTCACGGCTCCAAGGTCGTGGGTTCGGGTCTCGGTCGGACGTGTTTCTGTGTGGAGTCGTTGTTCAAACCGACTAAATGTGCATAAATATAGTTTAGTTGTAAATATTCATGAGTGAAGTTTGTTCCCAGTTACATATAAACCTCATTAAACTGATGCATAAAGAGGGTTCGTTAAAAAGAGCTCGTTTAAAACACTCTGTCTGTGTATGACTTCCACCTGCTGTGGACAGAACAGTTTAATTTCCTCATTTCAGTGAATGTTTTTACTATTTGACACTTTAAGCACATTTTTACTGGCAGTACATTTTGTATTTGAGTCTATTTTTCTCATTTGTAACCTTAACTTTCCAGATATTTCTGCTTCTTGTCTGTATTCGGTCACTTTGCTGCGTCTGCTTGCTGGAGATCAATACAGTGTTTTCTATTCTGTTCTATTATTAATTTAAAAAATCCACATTTTGTGCTTATTGGCAGGTTTTCAGCTGATATCTAAGAATGCTAAAGGTGTTTGTAGGACCACTAGAGGTCATTTTATTTATTTGTTTCTTTTGAACCTTTTTTTTTTTGCTCATTTCTTTTATTTCCTTTGGGTTGTTGACTCTAACGTGTCCGTCGCTGTGAAGTGCTCGGTTCGTGTGTTTGGCTGTGGATGCAGGTCTAACTCCTGCTCGTAGTCTCGTCTTTAAACCGTCTCTTTCAGAGTCTGAATGTGGTTGAGCTGCTGCAGCAGATCAGATCAAACTTCATTTAGTCTGAACACGTGCTCGAGGTCGTGAACGTCTGTGAAGTTCAGCGTTTCAGTCGCTGTTTCATACTTTAAGATAACAGACAACAGAAACACAAAAATATGTAAGTTAGAGCAGCTTTATTGAGAATGTGACTGTATTAAAATGCAGCTTACGCGAGCTCAGAGAGCAGGAGAGAAGCTAGCAGGAGTCCACAGAGCTCTCACTGTGGACACACCATCAAAGCTAATGGCGCCATTAGCCACGTTAGCCGCACAGTGTCCCACACTAAGGCTTTTCCTGTTGTTTTGGGGACGTTGCAATCAAAAATAAAACTGGATGTTCAGTTCCTCGGGAGTGCTGGTAGTGCATGAAGACTGTTGGTTCACTCTTGCAGCCAATAGCAGAACAATTAGGAGAACTTTGAGTTAGCAGAAGCAGTTCTAACAAGCTAACTGGCTAACAGTTTAACTCTCATCTCTTCACTTGTCTGCAGTGGTTTTTTTCAGGCTGTTTTGGTAGAATTAGAGAAGATTTATCTACTAAAAGTTCCACCTTGACGAGACGAGTTAGATGAAACTCTCTCGTTCTTTGTGTTTGCTGAGAACCGCGGCTGGTAAAGATTAGAGCCTGCAATGAGTTCAGACGGTAAAGTCGCCTGATGCAGGACTTTTACTCGTATTGTAGGACTTCAGAGCTGCGATATATGATATTATTACCACCATAAAGTTCTTCTTCCTCTGCTCCTCCAGGCGGCATCACTCGGGACACCTTCCAGAAGGAGCTGTGGTGCTACGACCCGTCCTCGGACACGTGGACGCGGCGCGCCGACATGATGGAGCTGCGCGGCCTCCATTGCATGTGCACGGTGGGCGAGCGGCTCTACGTGATGGGAGGGAACCACTTCAGGGGCAGCAGCGACTACGACGACGTGCTCGGCTGCGAGTTCTACAGCCCCGACGCCGACCAGTGGACGGCGGTGGCGCCGATGCCCCGGGGGCAGAGCGACGTCGGCGTCACGGTGTTCGACGGCCAGGTGTACGTGGTGGGCGGCTACTCCTGGAACAGCCGCTGCATGGTGGACATCGTGCAGCGCTACGACCCCGAGCGCGACGTCTGGGACCGGGTCTTCAACGTCCTGGAGCCGCTGGGGGGGATCCGGGCCTGCACCATGACGGTCCACCTGCCGGAGGGTTCGGTGGACGAAGCTCAGATCCAGGAGTGTCCCTTACCCACCACCAAGAGCTGAGAGCAGCGAGGCGGCGGTGGCGGCGGCGGGGGGTTTCCAGACCAGAACTGTGCAGAACAGAAGGCAAACAGGAAGCTGTGTGGGCTGCAAACACCAGCTTCATGTGTGGGGAGGCAGCTAGCTAGCATTAGCATCCTGCAGTCACACTTCTCTACCCAGCGCTTCGTTTCACGTCCGTCCTGCTGCTGCTCGACTCGTTTGACGCATTCCAGACGCCTCAAGTTTCACAAAAACATCAGAACTCTGCAAACCGGCCGCCCGTCGTCAGCTAAAAGCTCAACCAGGCAAACGAGTCGACACCGATTAAAGCCGGCGTTCACCTGAACGGACCACCTGATCAAAGAGCCTCTGAGCTTCTAGTCGGGAGGTTTTGGGATGAAAACATAAATTTATTACTGCTTGTCTTAATTAAGCGTGAAACCAAGAAGGTCTACAGACCCGATGATCCACTTCTGATGAGCTACTGCTGAGTTTAACCAAAGAAGCTCGACGATGTTCCTGAACACGAGTCTGGATGAATGTCTGATGTGTTTTCTGCTGTACAGTCGCGCTGCTTTGACATTAAATAAATCCTTTATTCTGCTCTTCTCTGGTGGATTATTTACCGTCTGAGAAAGTTGTTCTTCAGCTGCGGGAACAAAAACACAAAGTGAGTGATGACAGAAACTCGTCCTTCACCTCCAGATATCAGCCGAGGCTTCGTTCAGGAGAAGCTCGCTCTGGTTCTGTGCAGAAAACAGCCGCGAGTGTTGAGAGAAGACTCGGATACTCGCAGAACACCAGCTAGAGACGCATGACGTTCCTTTAAAAGGCGTTTTCTCCACAGAACAAGATGAACCGAGCGTTTTGCACATTTGGTTCAAATAGAGCAAATTATGTGCTGCAGTATAAACTCAGCGCTGAGACTCGTTTAGTCCTAATAAACGAAACTATGAAACATTTACACACAGAACAAAATGACAGAAACAAACAGTGAACTGCTCGTTTTCTTCTTTACAGTCTGGTAGCTCTTCAGTGTGCTTTCTGGTTCCTGAACTTCCTCCTTTAAGTTTACCTTTCAGTATAAAAGCAGTTTGTTTTCTGATGGAAGCGTCGACGTTCGGCGAGTGAAAGCTGTGTCATTTTGTTCGTTTGGATGCAGATCAAGTAGAAAAACCTTCAGTTAAACTCTTTCTTTACAACTTCTACTTATTTCCAAAATCCTTCTGCACAAATCTGCTGCTTTTAGAAAACCAGTCAGATAAACGTCACCTTGAAACGCCGACGCAGCCTCGAGCGGAACGAGCTGAAGTGTTTTACTGAAGCGTGTGAGCGATTTGCTCGTCGTCCTTCTTCAAGGATCTCTGCAGGACTTTAAACAAAGGTCCTCACAGCAGGTTTCTCCTCTTCTGTCCTGCTGCAGGATGTTCTGTCGATTATAAAAATGATTTTTTAGAGCTTGAATCCAGATTTTTTAAGCATTTTCGGGGCCTGAAAACTGCTGAAACACAGAAACGGCCTCAGAGTCTGGAGGCAAAACGTGTTCATCTGAATATTATAAAACTGTTTTCTGACGCGTTAGAAGTGCAGGAACGCAGAGAAGCCGACCAATAAATCAGCACTTTGGTTCTTCTGGAAAACTCTCCTGATCAAAAGTCCAACAACAAAGAAAGGAACGAGAAACACCTTGAGTTCAAAACGAATCAAAGTTATGCGTTTAAATACTAAAAGTAGAAAAGTTTTAGCAGCAAAATGATTTTAAAAGTTAAAAAAGTCCAAATGGAGCCAATTTAACACCAAATAAACGTTTTTTTAACGGTTTAATCGACAAAATGCTTCTTTTTTGTTTAGTTTTCTGTTTGCAAAGTGAATAAAAGAAGAAATAATCAAGAAGAGCACTAATGAATCATTAATGTTAATGTAAAAAAAGAGGAAAAAGTGTCTGTTTGTGTGAAACCTGACCTTCATCCTGCTGGTCTGGCTGAGCCGTGACGTCGGTGTCCTTGGTCTCCAGCATCACGTCTGTCAGACACATTCCAGCCTGGAGCAGCAGAGCCGCCCCCACCTCAGCAATGAAAAGCTGCTGCTTTTCTTTTCTTTTCTTTTTTTTAGAAGCTTTTCTGTGCTTACAAAACGTAGAAGTGGCGAGGCAGACGGTGCACACGTCCTCCCAGACAACAGTCCAGCTCCTGGTTTGAAGCTGCCATGTCTCTGAGCGGAGACGTCTGCGTGGTGACGGGAGCCTGTGGCTTCCTGGGACGGAGGCTGCTGAGGCTGCTGCTGGAGGACGAGGACGCCGCCGAGATCCGGCTGCTGGACCGACACGTACAGCTGCAGGTCCTACAGAGTCTGGAGGGTAAAAATCTGTTTGTTCTGACTCATTATGCATCTTTTATCTGACGTAAGAGGGTCTGAAATAATAGAAAGCACATGAAGAGTGAGGAATAGGAACATCTTTACTCCAAAATACACCTCAGAGGACGTGAAAGTCCAAATCAGAGGCAACGGGCCAAACAACAAGACTAAAAAAACATCACAAATCAGTCATGCATTCAAAGATCAAAAAGTCTGAGCAGAAAAATGTTTTTAAAAGTTCAAGAACAGCCCGAGATGGTGACAATTTTAATGGTTGAATCGACGAATGCAGTGTGTTCAGACAAGCTGCAGGTTTTACAGTCTGGAGGGTAAAAATCTGTTTGTTCTGACTCATTATGCATCTTTTATCTGACGTAAGATGATCTGAGATGATAGAAAGCACATGAAGAGTGAGGAATAGGAGCATCTTTATTCCAAAATACACCACAAAAAAGTGAAAATCAGGAAGAAAGGTTAAAACATCAACAACAGAGCAAGACGACGGCGATTTAACAGCAAATACACACAAAATGCATCATGTCTTAGTGAAGGTCTGCAGAGGGACTATTTATATCTGTGATGTGCTAAAATGGAAATAAAACTGCAGCGAGAGACAAAATACAGAACAAAGAGCAGTCATTGTTTCCATTTTATCGTTTATGACGTTGCATCAGGAACATAAAGAACCACACGGTGAAAAAAAACAGTTTTATATATAAAATATGCATTCAAATATTAAAAGTATAAAAGTTTTACCAGCAAAATGTTTTTAGGACGTTAAAATGGTGTCAGTTTAACAACCAAATGCATCGTTTGGTGGTTTAATCTGCAGAATGCATTTGGGGATTTTTTATTGTGTTTTCTAGTAAAATGTCAAAAAATGTCTGAAAACAACAGAAACACTTCGAAATACGTCCAACAGTAAACACAGAGCTTTAAAAACGTCGTGTCTCCAGAATTAAAGCCTCATTTTTTGCCTCGTTGTGCATTAAAACACAAAAATCTACACATCAAGGAATCGCGCCGTTTTGTTCGTCGACCAGCAGCTTCAGTGAAACTTGTGGCTGTTTTCTTGTGCGTCAGACTGCAGACGCGACACCAAGCTGACGGTCTTTGAAGGCGACATCAGAGACGCCGACTTCGTGAGAAGAGCCTGTCGGGGAGCGTCGGTGGTCTTCCACACCGCCTCGGCCATCTGCGTGGACGGCTCGGTGGAGCCCAGCGAGCTGTACGCCGTCAACGTCAAAGGTTAGAAACAGATCCCACAATGCCTCATGAATTATCCTCATTTCTGGGCCTGAACATGAAAAAATGATGCATTCAGGGACATGTTTTATAGAGCAGACGGCATTTTAGCAGCAGTTTAAGTGTAAATTATCGACTTTAAGCCGTAATAAAATTCAAACAGGCGACTCATCGTAACATCCACCCGCTGCACAGTTATCATACAGAAGACATTGAGCTACAGAAGCCAGAGCTGTTTGTTTACTTGACATGTTTACGTGTTTATTTCTGCTCTAAAGTCGAGCTTTTAACATGGAGCTCTGTGGAGCCTGATGCAGCCTCTAGTGGACGTTCAAGGAACTGCAGTTTTAGAATATTGCCCTTAAAAGCAAGATAAAGTTCTCGGAAGACACTCTGAAAACGTTCTCAAAAATGTTTTCTGAATGTTGCATTGAAAACCTTGGGAACGTTCTACGGATGAATGTTCTCATCCTCATCCTCAGATAAATTTCACTCATTTCAAATAATGTTCCTGTGTGGTTAACAGTTAACTAAGAAACATTTTAAGATTCAGAGGATGTTTGGAGGACGTTGGCAGATTATGTTCCACGACAACAAAAGCAGAACCAACATTCAAAAAACGTTTTCAAGACGTTGTCGAGGCCTCAGAATGCAGACAAAATGTTCCACGTAATGTGACATAAGAACAAAGGTGCAACGTTCTGAGGATGTTTTAGGTATGTTGTTGTTCAGATGTTCTCAAGGCCTCAGATGATATTTATAAAACGTTCCTGTGATCTGATACACTAACATCGGTGAAATGTTCTGGCTGCAACGTTCTGGGGATGTTGTGAAGGAACACATTAAAGAATGTTCTTCTATTAAACATTTTCACAACATTACATGACAACAAAGAAGGAACGTTCTCAAACTGACATCCAACATTCTAACGTTCTGAGGACGTTTTGGGGATGTTGTTGAGGGAACACACTGTATAATATAATAAATGTTCCCACAGTGTTCCTAAGTTACATGATAACAAAGGAAGAACGTTCTCAGTGCGACGTTTTCATTTAACAATGTTACCGCCAAACGTTTAAAGAACATCTTTAGCTATCCTGCCTTTAAGAAGAACATTCTGGGAACTATATGAAAACATCAGTAGAACTGTAATGTGACATCTTAACAAAGGTGGAACATTTCAGCAATATTCTGAGAACGTTCTTCTGTAAAGAGTTCCCACAATGTTACATGATAACGAAGGAAGGACGTTCTCAAAATGGTTTAAGAACATGTTTAGAGCGTCTTCAGAGAACTTTCTGGGAACTAAAAGAAACCTTCCTGCTGAAAACATCACTAGAACTTTCTTAGAGCGTTTTCAGTACAAAGGAAGTTCTAGCCGGGTTCTGGTTCTCTGAGGTAAACTCGCTCATTGTTGGCTCATATGAACTGTGGAACGTCTTTGCTTTGCAGGAACGCAGCTGCTCCTGGAGGCGTGTATCCGGGAGAACGTGACGTCTTTTATCTACACCAGCTCCATCGAGGTCATGGGACCGAACCCCAGAGGAGAACCGATAGTCAACGGGGACGAGGACGTCGTCTACAAAAGCATCCTGAAGTTCGAGTACAGCAAGACCAAGAAGGAGGCCGAGGACAGAACCCTGCAGGCCCACGGAGAACCTCTGCAGAACGGAGGCCGGCTGGCGACCTGCGCCCTGCGGCCGATGTACATCTATGGGGAAGGCTGCCGCTTCCTGCTGGGCCACATGAGCGACGGGATCCGAAACAAGGACGTTCTGTATCGCATGTCTCTGCCGGAGGCCCTGGTGAACCCCGTCTACGTGGGGAACGTCGCCGTCGGTCACCTCCAAGCCGCCCGCAGCCTCAAAGACCCGCAAAAAAGACACGTCGTTGGTGGAAAGTTCTACTTCCTCTCTGACGACACGCCACACGTGAGCTACTCGGACTTCAACCACGTCGTCATGGCTCCTCTGGGCTTCAGCATCCAGAAGAGCCTCATGGTTCCGCTGCGTCTCTTCTACATTCTCTGTTTCTTCATGGAGACCCTGTGCGCGATGCTCCGGCCTTTCGTTCGCATCGTCCTGCCGCTGAACCGGCAGCTGCTCACCATGTTGAACACGTCGTTCAGCTTCTCCTACCAGAAGGCCAAGAGGGACCTGGGCTACGAGCCGAGGTACAGCTGGGACGAGGCCAGAAGGTCCACCATCAAGTGGCTCGCGTCGGAGCTGCCGGCCGCGAGGGAGCGAGTAGCGTCTGAATAAGTCAGAGTCACAACAAGGGCCTTCTCGTAGATTAATCGTAACAACTGGAATGAAACGTCCTCAAGGAACTCAAGCAAGTCCAGCCAACTGCTTGCTGAGAGGAAGTCCAAAGGCAGCTCTGGATTGCTGGGTTCTCTGGTTAGATCCATCAGCTCTGTACCTGACGATGTTAAGTGTTGTGGTGACATATGTTGTAATCTGTGCTATACAAATAAAATGGAGTTGGATTGAAATATTTGTCAGATTTGCATGTTATTAAAAGTTTTAGAAGTTAAAAACTCCTAAAGATGGAGGATCATTTTGATTTTTGCATCGTTTTTTTCGCTCCAATCTCTGGATCAATGCTCGAAGAGCCATAACTGAGGAGATGATGGAGCTGGAGTCCTGAAGTGCTGCAGGCTTCTTGGTATGTACACGTTATTGGAACCGCTATGGGTTCTAAAAGCAGGACTTTCCCTATAGCCCAGCAACAATATTATAAAACTCACTTTGGGAGCAGTTTCACCATCATACCTGCTCAATGGACGCTCAAACGTTGGCCATAAATGTAAAGATTACTGGAACTTCTTTCCCATAAAGTAGCATCTGACTGGCTCCATACTGTAAAGCTCCTGTTGGTGCCAATCACAGGGGAAAAGATCTGCCCCCGAGGGTGGAAAATACAGGTTTTATGGTTGGTGGAACATCGGAGTAGCACCATCATGTACCTGGTTTGTGTTGTTCTATTAAAGCAGCGTTGAACCATTGAAGATCATACCGATGCAGCGTTTCAGGACTCCAGCTGCATTATTTCTCCAGAAACGAAGAAAATGATGCAAAAATTCATAATTTTTAACGAATTTTTAACTGAACCAACGTTACCAATGAAACCAGATGTTACACACCATCATCAGTGTTCATCACTCTGAGTAAACATCTGTCAAACTGAAGATGCTCAGACGTGGAGCATTCGCTGAATCGAGGCCAAATCGTCCATCAAACCGATAATAAAGGATTTTAAATGAAGAAATATCAAACTGTACAACATGTTTGGTTCCTGCTTGTTTGTGTTTTTATGCTGTAAATGTGAAGCATCTCGATGGTTTTAGAGGCAAATTTGAGGATTTAAAAAAAAAAGATTCGGATAAGTTTAGCGTAGATGTTTTTGATGTCACCACTAGGGGTCAGCGAAGCCTCAGACTTCCTCTTTGTTTCTGTGTTGGAGATCAAAGATCAGAATGAGCTCATGAAGGAGGAGATTTTAGGAAAAGCTAAAAGCCTCTGAGCCCAAATGTTCTAAACTTTATGAGGACAACAGATTCTTTCACACTGTAAACTTTTAATGCACATTTTTAAAAATGTTTATTTCCTGTGAGCTCATAAACTGAAGCTTTTTACCAACTACACTGTAAACAACAACAACCTTCATATTCCATCCATCCATCATCTCTACACCTTGATCCTCACCAGGGTCATGGGGGGCGGAGCCTATCCCAGCTGACTCAGGGTGAAGGCAGGTTCACCTGGACAGGTAACCAGTCTATCACAGGGCTACACTTAGAGACAGACAACCAAGCACACTCACATTCACACCTACGGACAATTTACAATCACCAATTAACCTCAGCATGTTTCTGGACTGTGGGAGGAAGCCGGAGAACCCGGAGAGAACCCACGCTGCACGGGGAGAACATGGAGACTCCACGCAGGAAGATCCCGGGTGTCCTCACCGGGACGCCAACCGGCGACCTTCTAGCTGTGAGGCCACGGTGCTAACCACTGAGCCACCTGCAGCCACTTAATATACCAGAACCCCAAAATTACTGTAAAATATAAAGAATACCACCTCACAAAAATACAGCATATTTCTGTTATTAAAATATATTATTATTGTTATTATTATCATTAGAAATGGAACTAAAAATGCATGATTATATATTATATGTAGGTTATTTTATTGTTTTTTCACATATTAATACCTTTAATTAAACATTAAATTAAATGTTATATATATTAAAACAGATGTCTCTCATTTAACAAACTAATGTTTGATTTAAAACTGAAGAACTACATTTTTTTCTATTATTGGTAATTATCACTAGTTGTATGTGAAATTAGAACTTGAATCTTAAAAAAAGAAACACAACATTTTACAAATAAGAAGGGGGAGCATTTGTGACATTACAATAAAAATTGCAGATTTTTAAAAATTCTTTATATGGAAAAAATAACAAAAACTAATATTAATAATAATTTTAAAAATCTGGAAAAAAAGAGGAAATTTTCTGGTATTTTTTTGTGATTTTTTATTTATTTTTTAAACTTAAAAAACTCTTGACTTATTTATTTGATTTTATTTTTCTTTCGGTGCATAAGAGTTTGTATTAACGTGTTAAAAGAAAAACGATTAAAAATTACAAAATGAAGTAAAAATTAATTATTAAACTCAGTTCAAATAAACAAGAAGAACCCAGAAGAACCCAGAAGAACCTCTGACGTGTGTTTGTGTTTTACTGACGACAGACTCGCTCACATTGGGGGAATTTATAAAAAACGCAGTTCTGTAGATTCCAGCGTGAGTCTCCAGAAGCCCAGTTCGTCCGAACCGCCTCTGAGTCATCACGTTCACGGAAACGTTCCCATTACGTAACCCGGAACAATCAATGGGCTGATTATTGATTATCGGTTTCCCCGTGGTGGGGGTGACCTCTGCTCACTCGGTGCTGCTGACAGACATCAGAACCTCCCACAGGCCGAGCCCAGTCCAGCCGCTCGAACAAACAGCCATTCAGCACAAATGAGGTCATGGATCCACCACCAGGCAAAGACCTGCAGCCGCCTGTTGGCTGCACAACAGAAAAGAGAAAGCCCAGATGAACGAGCCCAGAGCCGCCCCAGCCTCACAGCGGAGCGGTACCGGAACCAGCTGCCGGAATCTGCTGAGTCTGCACTTGTGCTGGGTGGGTTTTACGCCGGTTCCTTCCTGGTTGAGCAACAGAGCTTTGAGGGATTTCCTCCAGCTGATCTCCATCCACCGGCCCGAGCAGCTGCTCTCCCGGTTCCGCTCACAGGATGTCTTCAGGAGGCGGAACCGTCCTCCTCTGGGTTCTGCTGCTCCTCGTCTGGTCGCCGGCGGAGGGTGAGTTCTGCTGCTCGGTTCAGGTGTTTGTAGTGCTTTAGATGTTCGGTCCGGCAGAACAGCGGGGACCTGGCTCGGTGCTGGTGTTACGTAAGTCTGCTGCAGCTTAACGGAGCAGCTCGCACTCAGGTCCAGTCCCAGGAGGGAGGTGTTAGAATCTGGATCTGGACCAAGAACACACCAGGGTTCTGTAGCTTTATTGGGTTATATGTTAATGAAACACCAGAATAACAACTTTAGACTTTATTTATTGTCACTGCACAAAAACACAAAAACAACGTCAGTGCTGGGCTCCTGGAGTGAACAGAACCGGAACCTGTGAGGCAGCGACTGGTTAATAAGAACTGTAGACATATAAATATAAATATATATAAAAAGTAGTGCGATGGAAAAAGAGCTCAATATGAACAGAATAAAAACAACAGAATTTATTTATGAAATAAATAATTATGATGAAGCTCAGTTCTGATTTATTCTTCCATTAAAGAAAAGACAAAACTCACGACAGTCCCTCAAATAAGTAGAAACTGAAAAAGTGATAATAAATAAAAATGTGCTGAATTATAATTTAGTGAAATAAAACGGTGCTTTTGGATTGTGGTTGAAACGAATTTAAAACAAACAAACAAATAAAAAGTTCCAGACAAATGAGAGCCAGAACACCTGTCAGCAGGTGTGACTGAGAGCTACAGGAACACCTGATGAAGGCCCTGATTGGCTCAGAGGGTTGTTCAGGTACATGTTAGTCTACGGGTCCCTGCTTTGATTGTTTTGTTTTTTTAAATATTTCTGTTGAGCCACAATTCAAAGCAATTTCACATGAGATTTTTCTTTATTATTACTTTTGTCAGTTTATTCCAGTGACAGCTGTTTGTTTCCGTCTTTAAATCAGGACGTATGAACACCTGTGAGGACGACTGAAGGTAAAACAATAAAGTGTGTTTGTCAGAGTAAACATTGCGTCATAGCTTTACCGTAACCAATCCCCTCCTACTTCCTGTTTGGTTTGGCGAAGCGCTGTGAGGTCAGCAGAGTGAAAGTCAGCTCCATGTGCTAAAATATCACAAGTCCAGTATGAGCACAAAGCAGCATGTTTTATTGTCATACGTGACGGCTCTGGTTGTTGGCTCGGTGGTCTGAGCTCTGAAACCCATCAGGAAGCTGAGAAATGCTGTTTTAATACCTGCTGCAGTCAGTGACAGCTGGTCTCAGGTACAAGCAGTGGAGTCAGATAAACCTGAATAATGAGTTTAAATCAATAAAACAACGAGGATTCATCAGTTGCATCGTGATTAAATATAAAACTATGATCTGATCAGTGCACTGTGCAGGATTTAAAATGCTCTAACTAACTGGTTTAAAGTCCTCCTGAGGTGTGAAACAGGCTGAACCTGGAACAAGCTTCAGATGTGAAACTGGATCAGTCACACAAACAGTCAGTCAGCTCACCGTCTGCAGTCAGAACCAAACAAAGAACTCCTGGTTTAAACGGATCTGGAATAAAAACAAAAGGGACACTTTAACTGATAAAAACTAGGAATGATCAACGGTTTCCATGGACTTGTAGAAACCATGTCTATGATTCAGTCTGGAGTCTCCAGAACTCTGGGTTCTGTCCGGTCCATCACAAAAAACAATCCTGCTTTTTAGTTCTGTCATGGATTTATTGAAGGTCTTCTGGAAACATGAAAACCTGCTGGATCATAAATAAACAAACAGAAATGTTAATATCTGGTTACACGTCCATGTTCTCCTCAGTCGGGTTCTTCTGGTTCCGTCCACCAGCTTCTGGTCCATCTCTGACTCCTCTGGACAGAACCGCTGCAGTTCAACTAAACTTGTCGTCTTTCTGACTCAGACTTGTTCCTTCATCAGTCCACAGGTTCTGGATGGTTCCAGTCAGGACTTTGGGGAGACCAGTCTAGAACCTTCATTCCAGCCTGATGGAACCATTTCTTCACCACTTTGATGTGTGTTTGGGCTCATTGTCTGGTTGGAACATCCAACTGTGTCCAAGATCAACCTTCTGCTGATGGTTTCAGGTTCTCCTGAACAACCTGGAGGTGATCTTCCTTCTTCATTGGTCCACTGACTTTGTGTAAAGCTCCAGGTCCACTGGCAGCAGAACAGAACCAGAGCATGATGCTGCCACCTCCATGCTGGATGGTAGGTCTGGTGTTCTTGGGGTTGAAGGCCTCACCTTCTCTCCTCCACACATGGTTCTGCTCAGTGCTGGTTCCATCTGACCAGAACTTTCCTCCAGAAGGCCTTTTCTTTGTCCATGTGATCAGTGGAGCTTTAAGGTTCTGAATGTCTGTTTCTGATCCAGTACATCTCGTCATATTTACAGACGACCTTTGCAAAGGTGATTGTTTTTGTGTTCAAGATTCACAACGAGTTTAGTTGAACTGCAGCGGTTCTGTCCAGAGGAGTCAAAGATGGACCAGAAGCTGGTGGACGGAACCAGAAGAACCCGACTGAGGAGAACATGGACGTCTAACCAGATATTTTAATTTCTGTTTTTATATTTTGATCCAACAGATTTTGTCATATTTCCAGAAGACCTTTAATAAATCTGTGACAGAACCAACATACCGGACTGCTTGGTTCTGAGTTCTAGGAGTGACGGTAAACTCCAGACTGAAGATGAAGCTTGTGGATGGAAGCTCTTGTCCATGACTGTATTTACGCTGACTGAGCTAGAAAAAGACGAGTTCACTGGATTCCTGTGTCCACCAGGTTTGGACGAGAGTCATGAGGACGATGAGTGTGCGGATCTGAACAACACCACGTGGACGGAGTACCGGCAGCACCGGGCCAAGCTGCAGGTCCAGTACCTGCTGCTGACCAGGAGAACCCTGGACTGCGCCCAGAAGTTCAACCTGGAGTCTCTCACCAAGCACAACTCCGACTTCAACATCTCCCGGCCCACCAAGGTCATCGTCCACGGATACAGGTGAGCTGGGGGGGGAAGGTCCGGAGAACCATGAAGTCCAAATCAGACCAGTTCCTGTGATTCCTTCTGACAGAGTTCTATGTTTCTACCTGTTTGAACCATGTGGAGCTCACGTCAACATCTGGTGACATTTGGCTGTTTGTTGGTCACGGAGCTGGTAAAGCAGCAGAACGCTTCACAAACCACAAACAAACGTGTTTTTTACACTGATTTTGATTGTCGAAAGATGGTTTCAGGTGCATTTGACTTAATCCACGTATCAAAGCTAACGTCACAGATCCAGCTAGATGTTCTTTGTTCCCAAAAGATTCTGAGAAAGTTCTCCAAAGTCCTGCTAATTTTTTTATTGTTGTTTTTTTAGTTCCCAGAATGTTCTCCAAAGACACTTTACAAGTGGCCTTAAACCATTTTCCTGTTGCAACTGTTGCATTGAGAATTTTTTTTGTCCTAAAAACGTTCTAAGAAAGTTCCAGCAGTGTTTTCAACAGTAGGTTTTCTTTTAGTTCCCAGAAAGTTCTCTAAAAATGTTCTTAGGCCATTTTCCTAATGTTGCATGGAGAACATCCGTCCTTCCTTCGTTCTCTGTGGGAAAGTTTTCTAGAAGAACGTTCTCGACAGCACCATCCCCAGAACAGAACGTAGCCGCCAGAACGTTCCACCTTTAAATGTTGGCTTGAGAACGTTCTCCCTTTGTTATCACGGAACATTGTGAGAATGTTTTATAATGTGTTTCCCTCAAGAACATCCTCAAAATGTTGCAGGCAGAACGTTCCACCAACGTTAAGACATCATGTTACAGGAACGTTTTATGAGGCCTCGAGAACGTCTGGAAAACATTTTTACTTTGTTATCGTTGAACATGATCTTCGACAACGTTCCCTGAATGTTGATGTTAGAACATTATGTCGACTGTATAGGAACGTTACTGGAAGTTAGAATGTTCTTGAAACGTTCTTTAAACTTTTCATTGAAACAGTTTCCTTCTAAAAGAAAAATATCTTAGAATTGCAAGTAATGTTGTCTCAGCGTTGTGGGAACGTTCACTGTCGGCTTAGTAGTTTTTGGAAAAGTCTAATGTTCTTCTGATTAAAGTTCTCGGCTGTAGTTCTAGATGTTAACAGCTGGTATAATCATGTTCATGTTCCTGGTTTAAGACTTTTTATCATCTGCTCTTCACTGACCTCCATCTACACCAAAGACCTCAACAACACTTTAAACTTTTAAAGCAAATAAACAGAAAAAATCCAGTTCAAGAGAACTTTGATTCTTCAGTCTGGTTTGTAGGAATCTAAAACTCTGCTGTGAAGAATTTAAAACGTGATCAGACCTGATAAAACCACATTCACAGCATCCCAACGACGCCTGTAAAGCAGTAAAACTCTTCATAAATCAGGACTAAATATGGTTTTCACCCTTATGTTGATAGTTTATTGTTTAATCCTGAATATTTAATGCCATAGAGAAAGACATTCAGCTTCTAGAAGTTCCTAGTTCTGGTTGTACATGTCGACAGTTTAAAGTGGTTTTTTCCAGGTTTTCTTCTGATTTACTCCTTGCTGACTTAAATTTTATGCAAAAGACGACAAAACTCTAAAAATCAGCAAACCAGGAAACATGAAAACCCATTTTAGGAGAAACGTATTCAGTATTTACATGAACTCAGCTGTTTATGAGCTTCCTGAGCCCTCGTACGAGCTACAACTTCTTTTTTTGTAATGTTTCCTCCCCTGCAGGGCTCTGGGCAGCAAGCCGTCCTGGGTGAAGGAACTGGGCCGGGCCCTGCTCCGGGCTCAGGACGCCAACGTTGTGGTGGTGGACTGGGTCTACGGCGCCTCCTTCGCCTACAACCTGGTGGTGGAGAACTACAAGGAGGTGGCGCTGCAGATCTCCGTCCTCATCAACCAGCTGCAGGTCTGAGAAGCTTCCAGGTTTCTTCTGTTGTAGGACTAAAAATAAGACAAGGCGGCGCTAAACGGTCCATAAAACCATAAACCCATCAGTACGTCACAGGATGGTTCATTAGTTCAGCGCTAGATGGAGGAAATTATTCTAATTGATAGATATTTTAGAATCTAAAGAGCACTGAGAGATCAAACTGCAGCTTCTACTGGTAGGAACTAATGGAGCTCGAATCCCTTTAGATCCACCTGAGCTCCTCATTAAGAGCTTTTCTTGGTTGACTTTCACTTTTAATGGAAGATCCTGGTTACCAACCCAAACACGTCACATCAGATCGAGGTGTCTGGAGGGTTTCTGGTGTAAACGACCATCAGATTTTTGGTGTTTTAATGGGTTCTAGCGCCACCGGTTCCACTTGAAATGAACATCTGGAGCTGTTTTTGGTAGAAGTGTGAAATTCTACGAAAGGTGGATCCACTTTTTGGACCAAACCGAGGTTCAAGTCCTTCTGGATTTCACCTGCAGTTTGGATCGAGCTCAGCTCAGTGTTCCTTCAACAAAAAGGCAAAATGTTCCCCCGTCAACATGTCGCATCACAGCTAGAGAACGTTCCGTACGAATAAAGGTTCTGACATGTGGAACCTCAGTTTACCGTCTTTGCGCTGAAGCAAAGACTCAACCTGAGTTCGACTGCCTGGTGTTCTTAATAACGCTGCAGACGTTGTTCTTGTTGGACAGAAACACGGCTGCAGACTGGAGTCCTTCCACTTCATCGGGGTCAGCCTCGGCGCTCACGTCGCCGGCTTCGTTGGGACTCTGTTCGAAGGGAAGATCGGAAGGATCACAGGTGAGTCCAGACCACCTGAGACGAGTTCACTTTTACTGGATTCAGCTTGAAACGAACACTTTGTTCCTCAAAACCAGTGGTTTAGTTTTGGGAAGATGAGGTTCATAAAATCCACGTTTATTTAATTTATCTGCAGCAAATCAACCATTTACATCTGCAGAACCTGGACATATCTACACCTTTTACACCTTTCATTTGATCAGGTTGGATTCATTTACTGAAACGATTCGTGTTTTACGTGCAGCTGCAGCTCATGTGTGATATTTGCACCATTTTAAGCCTCGACTTTTTATGTATGTTCAGTTTTTATAGTTCAGAATACATCAATAGGTGATCTTTAAAAAGTTTTCATGGACAAACGTGCACGTTTGATTTTCCTTCAAGATTTTTGCAGCTTATATTTGCACAGATGTCTGATTGTATGAAAGCACTGACAATGAAGAAACTCTGTTGTATTCTATTTTAAATAGAAGTCGACACCAGTAAATCATGAGAAAGTCATGTTTTATGTTTGGGTGAATCAAATACATGAAGAATTGGAAACTAGTGGCTGCAAATCAAACTGTTGATTTGAGAGGAATGAAAGGATTTCAGGACTTCAGTGCTTAAAAACTTCATTTAGTTGATTTGCACCAAAATCCTTTCTTACGGTGAGAAGCTGAATCAGAAACATCCACCGGACTGTTGCCTGACTGCAGAAAGACGCAGCTGAAGATTCTGAGGAGCAGATTTATTATTTTATCATTAATTAAGCTTTTCTGTACAAACAGTGGAGCTCATTGATTATTAGTTATTGATTATTGATTCACTTACCCCGCAGCTTTGAGAAAACCCATACAAATGATATATCAAAACATCGACAGAGAAAGGTCTGCTTTGACTTTTGGTTGCAATTCTTCGTACGGTTTTTACGAAATTTGTTAAAAAATGTGTTTAAAAATCTCCATTGAAATGAATGGGAGGTCGGCCAAAACCAGCCGGCTTTGGAACCCTGTAGCTCCACAAGGTTTTACAGCAGGAACTAAATTCAAAGTTTAAATGCGTCACAAGACTTTGAACATTATCCGTCTAATTCTGTGGTTTGATGTCTTTTAGGGTTTTTACGCAGTCGCAGTTTAAGTTTTATGAATTTTTGAAACATCCAGAATTTCTTTTGTAGCTTTAAACAAGACAGATGGTACGATAGCAGCTGCTAGCTTCGTCTCCTTCTCACCGTTCCTCCTCAGACTGAACAGGTTGTACATAGAAGTGATGGGATTTGTTCCTCTTCCATCCCGTGTGAGTCTCATTGCTGCAGGATCGACGGTTTCCTCATAAATCACCTCCGAGATCAGAGTTCAGAGACCAGAACTCCCAGTGACTCCCATTATATCAGAGTTTTAAAATGTCAGGTGAACATCTGAGACAGAAATATATAATATATTAATATATTATAAACTCTACCTTATAACAGGACATATGAACTTTAATATTGTTGGTTTCTGCTGCTTCATCGACAAAAGCAGGTCGAACAACGAGACACTGAAGGTGTCTTTGGGAGCTCTGCAGGGTTCTTCAGAGAACAACGACACTTTGATGGCGGCGCTGTGAGACTCCTCTCATCCAGCGGCACAATGCTTCTCTGTTCTCTTGTTTATTTCGGGTCTCTTTGTCTGAGTGGAGACGCTTGTGTTGGCTTTTAATGCGAGCACAGTTCAGAGGCTTCACAGCTGGCGAGCGAGACGAGTCCAGGAAACCGCGAGACGCAAGACAAACAGTCACCGAGCTTCCTGTTAGGTCGTAAATGTTTCTATCATCACTGTTGTACGGTGGCCAGGAAGTGCCAAACAAGTTTACCAACTCCTGAAACGCTTTACAAGTAAAATCAACCAGAGAGGGAGCATACCGACGCTGGGACTGAACAGGAAGTGGAAACGGGCAGCAGCCAATCAGAGCTCTTGTTGGTGACCCAAGGTGGACAGGGTGACGATTTGCCCGTCTTGTGGCACAAATGAGCCGATTAACACGGTTTGGTTTTTCTAAACACAACAAGTCGGGCTGTCGAGGTCCCCCTTCGTACCCGGTCCTTCTGTCTGGTCAGCACCAGGTCAGAATTCTAAAGACCGACCGCATGAAAAACCAAACCGCCTTAATCGGCTCATGTGTGTCACTAAACGGGCAAAATGTCACTCAGTCGCTCTCCCCGTTACCACTTCTGGTTCAGTCCCAGAGCTGGTACGCTCCCTTTCCGGTTGATTTGACTTGTAAACTTGTTTTGGACTTCCCGGCCACCGTACTGTTGAGTTCTGGACTGTCAAAGTTTGAGAACAAACTCCTTCTTGAGAACGTTTCTGTTCGTTATGACATAACGTAAGAAGAAATGGCAGGAAAAGAGAAGCAGGGATTCAACAGAAAACATCCAGAAATGAAGCCGGGTTTGTTTGGAACCTGTGCAAAGACCGGATCCGACCAAACACCCCGTTTACTGTCAGTCGGTTTCTTTGGTTTTAATATTTACTTTCTGCAGCTGCTTCCTAAAAACAGCAGCAGCAGTTTCATTCCCACAAAAAGCACATTTCCATCCGTCTGGTCAGACGTCACCACACGAAGCAGCCACACAGCGGCTTTATTTAAATGAACGACCTGAAACAGAACCTAAACAACAGAACATAAAGACGCTGCTCCGGTTCAGTTGTCGGGGTGAATACAGAACTTCCTGTCCGACCACGATTCAACTCTTTTATTGTTACAGTCCTTCTGAGTTCTTGTGTGAATTCTTTATTCTGAAAGATTTCTGAACTCCTAAACACATTTTTCCTGCTTTCCCTCCAGGTCTGGACCCGGCCGGACCCATGTTTAAAGGCGCCGACACCTTCGACCGACTGGATCCGTCGGACGCTCAGTTTGTCGACGCCATCCACACCGACTCCGACTGTGAGAGAAACTTTGCTCCTCTGATGCTGAAGTGTTCAGAACATTTCAGAACCTTTTTTTTTCCACATGTGAGAAAGATTTAAACGGTTTTCTGACAGGTTTGTGTTTGAGGAGAGAAATTTTAAAAACTGGTTCGTAGAGTAAAAAAACAACTGTTAAAGCTTCTGTTAGCGTTTAAAGAACAGAAAATGAAACGTTTAACTCCTACAAACACACTGTGGTTAAATCAAACGTCCTCCATCAGCTGCTGGAGGCGAACGTCACACGTAAACATTTACAGACATCGAAGTCATTGTGTCACGTTTTCTGTTGTGTCTGAGGTCGAAAAAATAGTCCACAACAACAACAACAACAACAACAACAACAGCCAGTAGTAGAAGAAGAACAAGAAGATGAACAAGAAGAACAAGAAGATGAACAAGAAGAACAACAACAAATACTAGAAGAGAACACGAAGAACTACAAAAAGGAAGAACAACGACAAGTACTACAACAGAAAGAAGAAGAAGAAGAACAACAGCAAAAACATCGCGAAGAAGAACAACAAGTACTAGAACATGAAGAAGAAGAAGAGGAATAAAAAAAAAGAACTAGTACTAGAAGAAAAAGAACAAGAAGAACAACATCAAAAACATTGAGAAGAAGAAGAAAAAAAGGAACAATGAAAGAACAACAACAATGACAAGAAAAGGAACAAGACAAAGAAGAAGAAGACAAAGAAGAAGAGGAATAAAAAAAGAACAAGTACTAGAAGAAAAAGAACAACATCAAAAACATCAAAAACATTGAGAAGAAGAAGAAGAGGAACAAAAAAAGAGCAACATGAAGAACAGGAAGAACAACAACAACAACGAGTACTAGAACAGAAAGAAGAGGAACAAGAAGAAGAAAAAGAGGAAGCACAATAAAGCTACTACTATCATTACTACTACAATTATGACAGCTACTACTACTACTACTAATACTACTACCACTACTAGTACTACTACTATCTGCTCTACTACAAATATGACAGCTACTACTACTACTACTAATACTACTACTCCTACTACCACTACTAGTACTACTACTACAACTACTACTACTACTAGTACTACTACTACTCCTAGTATTACTAGTACTACTAATAGGACCAAAGCTCCCAGCCTCCCAGAGTGCTTCTTGGAGAACCTCTCTGAGGAGCTCCTTGATCAGTTGTTGTAGATCTGGAGCGTTCCTCCACGCCGGCCATGTGAGGAACCCGGTGAAGGTTCCTGGAGGTTCTGCTACCGTATTAATGCTGGTTTGTTCTGCTCCAGACTTCGGCATCTCCATCCCCGTCGGTCACGTGGACTTTTTCCTGAACGGAGGGAAGGACCAGACCGGATGTGCTCGATCCCGGTTCGCCTCAAGTAAGTTCTGCCCCGACTAGAACCTGAGAACCGGAGCTCACAGCAAGAGGAGCTGCTGAGCTGTTTCTGCCTGTAGTCACTGAGTTCTGAACGCGAGCCCGGCTGCCTCAGTGCTCCTGTGTGTTGTCAGTTCTGGTGTACTTTCCAGTGTACGGCTACGTGATCTGCGACCACATGAGGGCGCTGCACGTCTACATGAGCGCCCTGAACGGCTCGTGTCCGCTGGTGGGGATCCCCTGCTCCACCTACGAGGACTTCCTGAAGGGAACCTGTGTCGACTGCGACGTCTTCAAGGGAACGTGTCCAGCTATAGGTACGACGAGCGGTTTAATGTTCTGGTTCTGGAGCATAGAAACGTTGAGGGAACGTTTGTGTTTTTACAATAAAAACGACAGATTTATAGTCAGTGAAAGGTTCTGATGGTGGTTCTGACATGATGACGGGTTTCTGCTGCTGCTGCTGAACTGATAACTGACAACATAATAATGACATGAGTCACACAGAACCATCGGTGTAACTCTGGTCGGTGTCGGTCCAGTCTGGTCATCGTCTGGAAGCAAGAATGAGACGAGAAATAGAACCAAAAGAAAACCAAGACGAAGAGGAAGAATATAAAAAATAGAACAACAACAAGAAAAAGAAAGTTTAATATTATTATGTTTTGGAAGCAAGAATTTGACAAGAACTAGAAAAAAACAAGAAGATGAACAAGAAGGATAAAGAATATGAAAAAGAGAAGGAAGGAGAACAAACAGAACAAGTAGAAGTCAGCTGACTGTTTAATCATATTATATTTTGGAAGGCAGAATTTGACAAGAACTAGAAGAAGAAGAAGAAAATAACAAGAACAAGAACAAGATGAAAAACAACAAAAACAAGGAGAACAACAACAACAACAACAACAAGATGATGAAGACTGTAAAAAAGAACAAGAAGAAGAAGAAGAAGAATAAAAAGTTTAATATTATATTTTGGAAGGCAGACTGAAGAGAACTAGACGACGTAAATAACAAGAACAAAAGCAAGAAGAAGATCAAAAGGAACAACAAGAACAAAAAGACAGATTCAAATATTATATTTTGAAAAGGCAGAATTTGTCTGTGGGGATTTTTAAACGCATTTTATTTATTTTTTTTATGAATTGTGTAAAAACGTACAACAAATCGCTGCCAAAAGTCAAAGTGAACTTTTCCCTATCGGGCCACAGCATCGTTTCCTCCCTACAGGGTTTTTAATGTGGTTCCTTCCCGTCATCGCTGATTGGTCGCTCACAGAGCATCCAAAGCAGCTGTGGACTGTCGGGTTCTCTGTTCTCTGTTTAAGGCTCGTTAGGTTCTCACATTGCTGAGTAAAGATGAGATGACAGATGTTGTAAACTGGCTCTACAGACGGTAAACTACAGATCTGTGCTTCATTCAGGACCTGGATGTGTCTCAGTCGGATTTTAATTACAGGAGCTGAGTCCAGTTTCAGTTTCAACTTTTGCGTCTGAAGTGCAGATTTTAACACAATTAAGTTGAACAACTCAGATACGAACACATTTCTCCAGGAATCATCCTTAAAGCTGCTGTTTGTTCTCCTGTGTTCAGGTTTATCTAAGAACAGCGGGATTCTCGACTCGTCTCCGATTCCTCAAGAGCAGAAAGTTTTCCTCCTCACGACGTCTTCGCCTCCTTTCTGCGGTGAGTGTTCGACCAGAAGGAACCAAGCGACATGTGGACAGATGACTGAACTACGACATGTTGAACGCTTGTTCAGTGTGAAGTCTTTCTAACCGATGTTCCTCTGACCTCAGCTCATCACATCCTGCTGCAGCTGGAGGTGTCGCCGTTGGATAAACGAGCCGAAGTCGAAGTGACGCTGAGGACGGAGAACCTGGGAACAGAGCAGAGACTCAGGCTGTAGGTACCAAGAAGACCTGATCCTCCTCCGTTGTTAATGTTTTAAAGTACGCAGATGTATCCAGACTATCCAGACCATAAGGTTGTAGGTATATCGAGGTCTGACATTTAAATATTGAAGGAGAAGAAGGTGTTTTTCTGTCATCACTGAGCACTCTGAACTTCATGGATCCCACAAGATGCTGGAAGTTCACTTGAATGTAATCTCTGCAGATTGTGTTCTGCTGTTCTGCACCGTCCCAAAAGAGTTCTGCTGGATTCAGATCTGATTCTGGTGTCAGGACAGTCCACCGAACTCATCTTTAATCTTCACAAAACCAGTCTGACCTTCATACTCTCCCCTTTGTGTGGAATCAAACCTTTTCAAGTTTGCAAATTTGCACATGTGGGATCATTTCTGGTGTCCCGGACGAGCCCCCGAAGAAAAGCAATAATCACAGAAAGAAGGAACTATTACTGAATTAAACCAAAATAAAAGAACCAAACGAGGAGTTCTACCTGAAGTTTATATCGGTTTAACAAAATAAAAGCTCTGACATCGACAGGAGGAGCAACGTTTTTATCTCGTTACTAACCGGTTCTTTTACAAACCGCTGATCGATTTCACTCAAACAGGAGTCTCTGAGTTAAAATGCCCTCAGCTGTCGAGAAACAAAGCAGCACACGGGATTATGGGATGGCAGCGCTTTGGAAACAGGTGATTGATTGGTCCAGCCGAACGTCGAGCACACACACGTTGGACATCGTGTGGATGGATCGTCCTGCTGGAACAAACCATTAGAAGACGGTAAACTGTGGGCGTTCAGGGACGGCCGTGATTGGTGGGAGGTGACGGACCGACGGTGAGCCAAGACAACCAGCAGACTGTCGACGCGACGCAGATCGGCTCCACGCTGCCGATGCCAAGTCCAACAGGAACCACCGGGTGTGTTCTTCAAACCGTTTGTTCGTTCTGAGAAGCTTCGTTACTTCATCATCGTCTGTTTTTATTCTCTCCTGAGGAACCTCCAGAGACTCTGTGGAGGGAAGTCCAAAGACATCAGCAAAGTCAAAATCACTGAGACTTTCTGGTTCTGACCCGGAGCAAAGTCTTACTGCTCACAGAGTTCGACACGTTTCCTGTCAAGTTTGACCCTTTTGGATTTTGACAGCAGTAAAAACACCTGAAACGTCTTTTAGCCTGAAACTTGATGACTTTTCCTAAAAACGTTCCTTCTCCTAAGTTCTGCTTTAGTGCAGGTTTCTACACTCAGGCTGTTTGGGGTCAGATGTGAGATGGATTCTAGATCCACCAGTGGGGGTCGGATCAAGGAGCATGGTGGTTTTAGGGACTCCAGAAACTGTAGAAGCCACGTTTTCTGAGTATATATGAATATGACATCGACTGCTTAGACATTCTGACGAGATCTGTGGTTTAACATGTGGTGTAGACATAAAATATGACCTGTATCTACGGGTTAAGCCTTGTTTTAGGTTCTTCTGATATGTTTCTTGTATGTTTGTCCTAAAATCCAGCAGAAGCAGGTGATGAAGGAGGATAATTAGCAACAGGATTGTCCTGTACTTTAGTATTTTGTGTTTCTCTACTTCTGGCTTCAGGTTATGCCGTCTTTCTGTCACCTTTTTGGATTTTGGGTACATTTTGTCAACGCTGTTGATTCATCCGGACGATGGTTTTCTCATAAACGGTCTCATAAACACCCAAAAGTAGATTAAAGGAGTTGTTGGTTTGCTTTGTGTAGAGAAACTAAGACATGACTACGTCTGGTTATCGGCATCCACAACTTTCTGCCGCCTCGATGTGAATATTTATAGCCGAGTGTGAAGCCTCACATCGAACACAGGAAGTCTAAGTGGAGCACTTCTTCAGCCTCATTCATCAACTCGCAGCTCGCAGCTCAGGTCTTGATTCCTCCCAGAAACAGGTGAGCTTGCAGCTTCTATTTGGAGGCGCTGCTGCAAAGCCTCGGCAGGTGCAGGACGGCCAGTCCACAGAAGTTTGTGTGCTCGGGTTCATCCCGGTTCAGCTTGTTTTCTACTTTACTGTCGACGGCGCCGATCCAAAGCGTGCTGCTAATCGGTAAAGACGGATGTTGATAGCTGTGATGGATGCTGATTGGCTGAGACGTTCTCAGGACGTTGTTCATGTGTTTCCCAGTCAGACGGATGCGACGGTGTACCGGACGGTGTTGGCTCATCCCGCCGCTCTGTGTGAGATCAGCTCCATCACGCTGAAGAACACCGGAGCTTGGTTCTCCCGGCAAGGACAGATCCACGTCCGGTCCGTCTGCGTCTCCGAGTTCCCGTCTGTCAGGTACGTAGACCGGGTTCTGCTCCACGAAGCAGGTCCGACACGTCCAGACTCTCTTTGTGTGAATCGACTGAAACCTCCAGTCAGAGACGTCAGGAACCGTCACTGGTTTTATTCCCTCTTGCAGAGTCAAATGTTTTGTTATAATAGATTCATTCATTCGTCCTCCAGGACCGAGGACCCGCTGTGTGTGAACAACTTCATCGTCCGGCGAGGAGCTCCGTGGTCACATGACTTTGTTCAGGTTTGTGGCGTCTTCTGAAGATCTGCTCTAAAGAAACTGTGCAGAAGAAACCGGCAGAGCATCTGGATGGAACTCTGGTTCACGTTTTCACCGCCTCGTTTAACGTCGATCAGTTAGATCTCCGTCAGCCAAAGAATCACAAGAGAAGGTTAACGAGCAGGTGGTTCCTCTGGTTCTAACGGACGCCACTAATTAGTCAGATAATCAGCTGATCTCACGACATCCTCACTAAAACCACTGGTGGGAGTTCTAATTAAAGGTTTTATTTGTCTGGTTTTGTGTCCTTTAGGTTTGTGTTTTAGCTCTGAGACTGTTAATATGATAAAATGTGTTTCTGTGACTTGTTCTGTCTGCAAGTCTGACTTCAGTTTGGTTTAGCAAAAAATACATAAATAGAAATAAACTCTGGTTTTCTCTGTCAGTGTTTGAACGGCTGATCATTTAAAACGTCAAGTACAAACAAAAAATACGCTTAAAAAATGGCAAACCTCTGAAAACTGTGTGCCAGAAGAAGTATTTAAGAACTGATGTGATGTTGTGACGCTCAGAAGCTGTAAAAGGACTAAAACTAAATTAAATTAAAATTAAATGTAATTTTACTTGATATAATTTGTAATTTAACAAAACAGGAAACGTCTATAAAACAATAGTTTAAACAATTATTTACCTTTTTTATGTTTAAAATGTAAATTAAATTTCTTTTTTCAGTGATTTTTATGACTTATTGACTAAACAGTGAACTTGACTCAGTTATTTAACAAAACAGGAAAAATCTGTAAAACAGTAAATTATTATTATTTAAATTCAATCCATACGATATCTAATTTTTCTTTCAAATAATGTTTTTTGCAGATTTAAATGCAGTAAAATTGTGTAATTCTGCAGTCACACATTGTAAAAGAACAAAATCTGTAAAATCAAATTAAATTGTTCAAAATGTTCCTTTAAAAAAAGTGTTTTTTATTTTCTGTTTATTTACATCATACTATTACATTAATGATTTTTTAAAAATTTATTATTATTAATATAATAAAGTGAATGAATTCTCCCCAAGAAGTTGTATTATTTACATGTATTTATTGAATTAAAAAGCATTCATGTGCGTTCTTTGTTTTTTTTTAATTTTGTGCCTTTAAAATAGTTTGAGCTGCAGTTGAAGGAAAGTTTCCAATAAGTCTCACTTTTCTTTTCTTTTCTGTTATTTTAGTGAAGGTGGTTTACAGTCGTGGATTCCAGGACTTTTATTTATTTAAACTCATAAATTGTTAGAAATTTGAGTGAAAGTGTAAAAAAATAAAAAATAAAATAATCTATTTTCTTCGCCTCTGATATCCACATTTCTTTAAAATGTTCTTTCTTTTTTGGGTAGAACGACAGTTATTAGTTCTAGATTAAAGTCTTGGGGAAAGCAAGAACTTAAATTAGACAAATCTAATTAACTTTACTTAAAATTCAGTTGCAGAAATGATCATTTAGGGGGAATCAAATGAACCAGCAGCGTCAACACGAGGTGTTAACTGGACAAACTTCATTCAATCATGTGTCACCAATTAAGCTTTCTGTTAAGTTGATCCAACTAATAATCAGCAAATGAAGCAGAGTTTCACTGCAAACAAACATCTTTATGGAGAAATCTTGGCCCCATGAAAAAACTCTTTACAGACGTTTACACTCGTTTTTTTAGTTCACAGTTTCCACGTTAAACGCTCCACGAGTTATAAAAATAGAAAACAACACCAACGTGGTCTACGGCCAGTTAATGTCACCAGAGAAGAAAGAAAGAGTGTTTTTGGCATCATGCTGAAAAAAAATCATCATTAAAATGGATTTGTGACGAAAAAATAAGAAAACCTGAACGTGAAGGGAAACGAAAACGTCACAAACATTTCTGTGAAATTCAGAAAAAAACTCCTTCATCTCCGGTGGTGAGAGGTGAGCCGGACGTCACCTCTCATCAGCTTCCTTTTGTCAAAAATGCAGAAAACGTGCAGCGAAGTGAAATCATTTGTGAAATAAAACAACAAAAGTCAAGTTTACACGCATGAAAACCTGTGAACATAAAGTAGAATTACAGCTTGAACATCGAATGCAGACGAGATGAAACCAGATCAGAAGATGACATTTCAGGTGTTCTGTCTTCAGTTGTCCAGTGAATAAGAGTTAAAGGTTTATTAAACGTTAAATATACCATCTGCAGGTGAACGCGTCCTCGTCTCTGCATTCTGATGCTGAGTCGCTTCAGACTTTTTAATCTTTTTTACATTCTAAAGGCAGACGTGTGACAATCGTGGCTTCAGTCAGAAAACACAACAAGGTCCAGACGTGGAGGGAAACACTGGTGATGAGCAGATACCAGCAGGGACGCTGGAAAGCTGCTGCAGACGTCGTGGACGGTTCAGGGTTTCCAGAGTCCGTCCTCACAGCTTCGGGGTGTCGGTCGGAGCCAGCGGAGCTCTGATCCTCCGGAACCGAGGAGGAACGTCCACGTCGGCATCAGCTTCTGCAGACAGAGCTTTGGTTAGAACAGATAACAGGTGGTGCTGCTCCACCTCCAATCATCAGGATCCTCCTGCTCCACCAGCTCTGAACGCTTTAACATGACCTTTAAAAGGACATTTTAGCTGGAAGTAGAACCACCGACCACCAATAGTCTGTTTTTGAGGGGGAAAAAAACTTTTCTCAAGGTTGTGGTTTTGTGTTAAACATCACCGGCTGACTTCTGCATCATCAGGTTTGTGTGAATATGAGCTCAAAGGTGGAATTTTTCATTAAAGCTTTAATGTTTTAATATTTCAACTCATCCATCATCAGAGATTCTTTGATCTACTGGTCCGATGTTACAGGTTCTGAATCAACGACATGATGAGAAATAAGAGTGAAAAGTTCAGGTTTTTATCTTTAATAGTTCCTCAGATGTTGCTGTTGAATCAGATGTCTGCATACATCTCCATAGTTTGTAATAAAAAATCAGACAAACCAGACGGGGTCAATAATAAAATTAAAGCCGCAAGCGGCGATGGACGGGTCCTCGCCCTACGCTTGTCGGCCTTC